AACAAACAAAACTCTCATGCAGGTCAGGTAAAAACAATGAAATACACGTTACCTTAACCGTGTCAGACCTTCAGCAGAACAAACCTACAGGAAAAACACGCAGCTCTTAAAGCCGCAGTTTGTAACATTTATAAAAGAAATGTGTCATAAAGTGTGGTGGTGGAGGTGGTGAGGCAGACGCTAGAGACCCAGGTAAGTTGAATGGCGAGTAATTTAATGAAAAATAATCCACAAAAACAGTCCAAACAGTAGTCCGCGGCCAGGCAGCACGGCTGAGCAGAAGCCAGGGCTCACACCGGTAGCAACTGGTCTTAAGGGCAGCACAAAAAACAACAACGACAATTTGACTGACAACAAAAGTACGACAAGGACCCGACGAGGAACAAAGGACACAGGAGGGACTAAATACACAGAGGGTAATCAAGGGAACAAGACACACCTGGGAACAATCAAGGGGAAGACAGGACAACGAGGAGACTCAGGACACAGAAACTCAGAATTAAAACACAGAAAAACATAGAACCTGACAGTACCCCCCCCCCCTTAAAGGGCGGCTACCAGACCCCAAAAACAAAATTCAAAACCCAAAAACCAGGGTGGGCGGAGGGGTGACGGAGGAGGGCCAGAGTCCAGAAAACAAAAAACTACCCACAAAAGGTGGGCGGAAACACAAGGAGGGGCCAAGAGTCCAAAACTAAACAGAAAGTGGGCAGAGGTGTCGAGGGGGGTCCGGTGGGCATCCTCGGCGCCCGCGGCAGACCCCACAGGGGAGGTCCGGAGGGCGTCCTCGGCGCCAAGGAACACTAGGGGGCACGGGAGGAGCACTAGGGGACTCGGGAGGAGCACTAGGGGGCACGGGAGGAGCACTAGGGGACTCGGGAGGAGCACTAGGGGACTCGGGAGGAGCACTAGGGGACTCGGGAGGAGCACTAGGGGAGGAGCACTAGGGGACTCGGGAGGAGCACTAGGGGACTCGGGAGGAGCACTAGGGGACTCGGAGGAGCACTAGGGGACTCGGGAGGAGCACTAGGGGACTCGGGAGGAGCACTAGGGGACTCGGGAGGAGCACTAGGGGACTCGGGAGGAGCACTAGGGGACTCGGGAGGAGCACTAGGGGACTCGGGAGGAGCACTAGGGGACTCGGGAGGAGCACTAGGGATCTCGGCTGCCGGAGCAGCGGCACGAGGAGCAGAGTCTACGGAGGCCGGAGCGGAATCCGGCGGAGCAGGAGCCGAAGCCGGAGCGGAATCCGGCGGAGCAGGAGCCGAAGCCGGAGCGGGGTCCGGCGGAGCAGGAGCCGAAGCCGGAGCGGGGTCCGGCGGAGCAGGAGCCGAAGCCGGAGCGGGGTCCGGCGGAGCAGGAGCCGAAGCCGGAGCGGGGTCCGGCGGAGCAGGAACGGCAGCCGGAGCGGGGTCCGGCGGAGCAGGAACGGCAGCCGGAGCGGGGTCCGGCGGAGCAGGAACGGCAGCCGGAGCGGGGTCCGGCGGAGCAGGAACGGCAGCCGGAGCGGCACGAGGAGCTGAGGATGGAGCTGGGGCTGGGCTGGCGGAGCGGATGTCTGGCCTGGGAGGCAGAGGTTTTGCATCCCACGCCGCGAAGGCTGTCTGGCATATCCTCTGCCTCCCGCTGCAGCTCCACCAGCGCGGGGTGCTGGAGACGTGGAACCCAGTAGTCCAACAGCAGTCCCAGGCGTATGGCGAACCCCAGTCGCCTCAACGCAAACGAGGACGTACTCCTTGACTCCTCATACTCGCGAATGGTTCGGAGCAGCTCCTCTAAACCCTCTGGGTCTATAATGCGGCCTCACCGTAATTCCTTTTGGTCGGGTCCTTCTGTCATAAAGTGTGGTGGTGGAGGTGGTGAGGCAGACGCTAGAGACCCAGGTAAGTTGAATGGCGAGTAATTTAATGAAAAATAATCCACAAAAACAGTCCAAACAGTAGTCCGCGGCCAGGCAGCACGGCTGAGCAGAAGCCAGGGCTCACACCGGTAGCAACTGGTCTTAAGGGCGGCACAAAAACAACAACGACAATCTGACTGACAACAAAAGTACGACAAGGACCCGACGAGGAACAAGGAGGGGACTAAGAGGGTAATCAAGGGAACGAGACACACCTGGGAACAATCAAGGGGAAGACAGGACAACGAGGAGAACTCAGGACACAGAAACTCAGAATTAAAACACAGAAAAACATAGAACCTGACAAAATGTTTACATTTTCTGGATGGCAAGCACATTACCATGTTGTGGTAATTTGTGAAAAACATTCATTTCCACCTTCCCGAGCTACAATTAGTGTCTGAGGAAATTCATCGTTCCTGGTCTAAAACAACCAATCAGAGCCAGGAGGCGGGTCTTAGTGCTGTCAATCAAATCACAGATAAAATGTACAACAGGGTGTAAGACATTTATAATTTATGCACATGGCAGGACCATGTGTTTTCCAAAATTCACTTCATTTTCCATCAAAAGTATCAAAATATTTGGATCTTGAAGACACATCTGAATCTATGAGCACGATGGTGGCAGCAACATGGTGTGGGAATGTGAATGAGGGGAATGAATGTGGTAGTACTTACAGTCACAGCAGTGTTTCCATTACAAATATACACAAAACTCTGTCAAAATTTTCACAATTGCATTTTTTCTGTTTAACAAAAGCATCATCCTCCTATCACTTCCTGTCGTCTTCTTTGTTGTTTTCTGCAGTAGTAATTGATCATGTGACTCGTGTTGTGACAAAAGTGAAATATAATCATTTCAATATCACTAAAAATAGTCTCATCCTAAAAACGTTATATAAAAATAAGTGTTTTTGAAATTGTCGTGTTGCCATGAAGCAAATTTATTTTTGAAATTGTGGTTTGCACAATTATACGGTGAATGGAAATGCAACTACTGATACTCTTAGTCAGACCTGAATACAGCCAGAACTAGATCGAAGCATGTTTTAGAATGGCCTAGTCAAAGTCCAGACTTGAATTTAATTGAGGAAGAGTTATTTTACAAGCACAGGTTCTGCAAACTACTGACTCTATTTAAGAATTTTACTTGTAAAAAATATTCAACTTGACAATTACGCACTAATCTCTGTTTCTTTATCCCATAAAATCTCAATAAAATACTTTGAGATTTGTAGTTGTGACATAAAAATACTTTAGCGAAGCGCTGTTTGGTAACGTTGCGGTTAAATCGTCAGTTTCTCTTCCTTCCTAAGACGCTTTGACGTTGTAAACGATAATTTACTGGAGGAGTCGTACCGCAGCAGCTCTTTTTGTTGGTTCTCTGCTTGTCTGCAGGCCAGTAAAGAGACTCGTATGAATTACGCCCCATTTGTTGGAACGAGTTATTGTAAATGCATCAGTTTGTGATGATGATGCATTTCCCCTCCGTCAGTCCACAAAATGACTACAACTCTCATTTGGCTCTCATATTACATCTCTGGAAAGCTTACCAGAGCTCAGGGCGTGCATTACTTACTAACTAATGTACCCACCAGGACCAGATACGCGATCGCCGTGCCCTAATGTTCCCGGCTGCTCCATAACACGGCCATTATTTCCCAACTAACGGATGTTCTCTCATCATGTTTGGTAACAAAGCGATGTGCAGGCGAATAAACACCAACACAAATTGTTGATTTTCCATTCGACTCCATCTCAGCCTCCATCCATCATTTGCCTCTCAGGCTTTCTACATTTCTGAGGAGGACCTAATGAATATTTCCCTTTGAGTAGGGGGAGCGTAAAACAAACATGAGCCTGGATCTCCCTTCCCTTTTCGTGTTTCCTCGGAGGCGAGAATGTGAGACGCATTTAAAGCCCTGTGAGACAGAAGCTCATCCAGCATTTTGGCATCAGCGATGCTTCTTCTCCCCCAACCAAATCTACTTCAGTCCTCTGATCATCACGGTAAACAGTTGCGGCAGAGACGCAGAGATGCTGGTGGCACTTCGCCCCGAAGAGAGCGAGACTGCTTGTTTTATGTTCTGGGAGGAAAAAAATATAAAAATTATAATTTTCTATTGACCGTTTGCAACTACGTCACTAAATCATTCGAGGCGCCGTGACGGACGGACGTCGGAAGTGAGGGACAGGAATACTGTCACGTTTTTCATAGTTGTTTACGCCTGTTTATTGTTTGAGTGAAGCTATTTGTGAATGTAACAAGCTCCTGTTTCTCAGTAAAAAGTTATGTTTGTCTTATTTCAAGAGTATTAAAATATTTTTACTAGAAACCAGACTAAAAATACTTGGTAACATGTTGAGTTTTTGAGGTGTTGGCACAAAATCTACGACTAAATTCAAATTTCAACTGATAACTTTCCCTTTGCTTTATCCCAGCGGTGTCCAATGTGTGGGCCAGGGGCCATTTATGGCCCTTAAGCTGATGTTATGTGGCCCCTAACTGCAGTTCAAGAATGGCATAAAATGTGTTTCTTGACCATTTTATTTTAATCAGGATAAATATTTCAGACAATTTTCTCACAGTGGAAACTATATTTTTTTATATTCAAGCTTTTGAAATAAGTAGAACCATGATTATTTAGAGACAAAGCTCTGAAATAAACTTTTATGTAATTTATCAAACTTGGCTAAATATAGCAAACGTTTGAAAGAAAGTGACCCAAATCCTTCACTTATACTTAGATAAATTTGTTCAATCGAGTCCCCCCAAAATTTGAGAACTACACGCCCTTCTTTAAATACAGCAAATCGTTTTTACATTTTGAATCTGGAATGAAAAACATTCCTGTCCTATAATAAATAAACCGGACCATTGCTTGATATTTGGTTTCTTATATTTTTGGCTCAATACTTTCGATGTGATGATTTTGGCCCACATAACAAAAACTTTGGACACCCCTGCTTCGTACTCTGCACAGAAACTTGTACCAGAACAAATGTTTTGCAGGACTAAAAGAATCAACAGTCAGTGGGTTATAAGATAAACAATAATCTTATGTCAGTTTATTTTTATTTCAGGACGAACAGCGCTGATGTGTCCAGATATTCAGTCGACTTGCAGCTCAGCGTAAATCCAGCTCATGTTTACTCTCTGCTTCTCCCTTTGTTGGATCTTTGCATTGGTTGCTGTCTCTCGTAACTCTGATCAAACGCGGGGGAGATTAACCGGGGGAGCGAGAACTTCATCCTGGGTTTCTGCCGGGCAGAGATGGCACACGCAGCGAGGCCGGGAGCCCGAGGCGGGAGCTGGTGAGGAGAATCAGAGGGTTGCAGCCGCGCTGATGCGGCTGTCAGGGGAGCGGAGCCCCCTGGCCGCTGACGCTCCATCCAAATGGAGGCAATTTTACAGGCCCTCCAGGGAACGGCTTGCAAATGTACCCGCTCCACCCTGCCGTACTTGCATGCCTCCGTCTCGCCCATGTGATGCGTGAAGGAAGCCAAACGAGTGCGAGGGGGTGGGGTTTGTTTGGTGGAGGCAATCTCTGTGTGTCCTTTGAAGCTTGTCTTATAGCATTTTTCTGTCAGGTTTCTCTCCAGGGACATGCAGCAGATCTGGTTCTGGAAGGCAGCCATACTCTCAAAAAAAGAAAAGAAAGCCTGGAGATGCTCGGCATTGCCATGTACCTGTGGCAGCAACAGGAGAACACGACTTTACAGAGCGCAGCTAAAGTAAAAACCCATGTTGTCTGAGAAAGGAGTGGAAATATTACCCAGTACCTGGATAAATAAAAACATTTTCTCCCATTTTTTGCTTTTACTTCATCAACTTTTTGTTGCGATGTTGAATTTATTTAGTCATTAAACTTTTTATTTGCTGTTATTTTGTTCTTGCATGCATAACTTTTAGTTAGTCAATTAATTTGATCATCGCTGCAGTTTCCAAGCTTCTGCCTCACTCAGCTCCTTCAGACTAGCCAGCAGCAATTAGCAAACACCTGGTGGAGCTGCTGAACTCATAGGAGCTACTTCTGAGTGAAACCCTGGTAAAAAGGTAGATAAAGGGTTACTAGAGGAGCGGTGCTGCGATGACTTTCTGAAGACAGAACCTCAGAAAGATCCAGAGTTTTTAAAGAGACAGAGGCCCAATCTCAAAGTGTTAAATTACAAAATCAGATTTCTTTAGTCATATATACAGCAGTTTTATAACAACTCAAGGAAGCATCGTCACTTTATTGTGCTAAAAAGTGGAACTGTGTGCCTGAGAAATACATTATCTGCTTGCATAAACAATTTTAAGATTTAACCTAAAACCTTTCAAGAAAATCTTCCTCTGCCAAATGTAAGGTTGAGCTAACACCAGGTTCGCAATTTTTTTTTTTAAAGTAAGTTCAAAGAACTGGGCAAATAGGAGCCGAATTCCCAATACCAATCTGTTATCAATCAGACAGAATCAGTGGGAACGTCTGCAGGACGTTGGGTTCAAACTTTCCAAACAGACCGCAGTATGTTTTTGTGTGTTTCTGCACAGGTCTCCAGTCAAAAGCCTATCTTTAGCCTGCTGCGTGATTGTGGCAGAGCTCTGCAGGCCTTGTTTAGTCCCCCAGTGCAGAACTAATGTGCTTCAGATCAATAGCAGCTCAGAGGCTGAGCTGAGATCAAGTCTGGCCTTTGGGAACAGTAACACAGACACTGTGTTCCCTCTGCAGCAGAGACAACCTCGCTCTGGGTGTTGCTGCGCAGCTTAAAATGCCTCTGAAATAAATGGAAATGCAGTGAATATGTCTGTTTTTGTGACATATTTTCTCTGCGCTGATTGTCTTTTCTTCTTTCATATTCCAAGAGGCAATTCATGTCCATATTCCTCAAGCTCGGTCAGCATTAAACAGCCTTATCTGCGGCTGCCGCGTGTTCGGCACGTCAGAGATGATTGTTTTCGGAGGACATCACAGGCAGATAGCCAGATACAGCCATATGCCGACGCCTTGTCACTCCTCAGAGTGGCAGCATATGCGTTCACTCCGTGTTATCAGGCGAGAGATTGATTTCTGTGTCCATCTTGTTTGCCCTTCCCTTTTGTGTTTCAGAGCTCAATTTGGAGAGCCGTGTGATGTATCAATGCACACCGCCTGAATTACCCTACTAACACATGCAAGTGCACAAAAAAAAACACATCTTGCAGATGTTACAGAACCACAGAGACTCAAGGTTCAACAGAAAACCGACACATTTGGCTTCTGTTTCCTCTGCTTTTATTTCATTTCCTGCAGAAAACAATTAGGGTTGCCAGATCTGATTGACAGTTCCCAAACATAATAGAAAACAGAAATACATATCTATATTTATGGCACTATTATAGTGTCATAAATATATATATATATATATATATATATATATATATATATATATATATATATATATATATATATATATATATATATATAGCATGGTCTGAAACGAATAATTGTAATTAATCGATTACTGAAATAAATGTCAACTAATTTTGTAACTGAAGTATATAAACTTAACATTTATTTTCTCTCCTGCAATAAACAATCAAGGTTGCCAAATCTGACTGACAGTTTCCAGGCCAAATACAATGATACAATTGTCATTAATCAAATAATTATAAACTAATTTTGAAATCAATTAATCGTTAACTGGAGTATACAATCAAGAAAGGCCATTTGTTGAAATAAAAATGATTTTCAGAAAGGAATTAACCCAAAATTGTGCAGAAAAATATAAATTTTGCATTTGAGATAACAACCCATTTGTTTGTAAATATGTTTCATCCAAAACTCCTCTAGTGGGATAGTTTTAGGACAGGTTCAGCTTTACTAAAGGAATGATATGTAATTGCATTTTTGGGCAATAAAATGTTTGTTTTTTTTTATTTAACATACTTCTAGTATTGTGCTAAAAAGGCTGATAAATTATGAAAACACGAGTACACTGTGACATTTGATTAACCAATGACTAATCATTGCTGGTGTCTCATTAGCCAATTTTTGAACAAATCAAAATAAATTAAATAATTTAATATGTGGAATAACCTAGCATTTTATAAAAGTATTTGTGCTTTTCTGCCACAATTAATTCAAAATAATTTTCCTCTTAATACTTTACAAAGACCCACCAAATGTTCTCAAAATTAGCCTGAATTTTAACCAACCCAAAAGTTTTTTTTCTGCCAAATGTATTCAAAAGTTGCCCAATTGAGCAGAAACTCACCCACTGAAGAGAATAAAACCCACATCTGCTGTCCTCTGGTTTTACGTGCACTTCTGCCTCCTACATGTGCAAGAAAACAACTGTTAATAAGCAAAAAACAACTGCAAACAAATTTAACAATAAACTCATAAATTGATGACTGCATGACGTAATTGTGACTTTTTGTTTTTGTGTTGTAATGATGTAACTTTGAACTGCCTTGTCATACAAACGAACTTGATCGAAAGCGCAATTACAGTGACACGCCACAAGGGGGCTAGAAATGGCGCTCACTGAAAACTACAAGGTAAATGTAAATATAAACGTCGTTAAACGTTATATTTACGCCCACAATAACTATCAAGTGTCACCGTATCATCTACATACACATCGTGAACAATATCTACCCCATTTTACAAAAAAATATAGATAGCTATTTACAAAGAAAATACCGGAAAACCGCAGGCAGCGTTTCCAACGGCCATACTGTGAGGGAAAGGAAGTCACGTACGCACAAAACTGGACCTTCAAAATAAAAGATCAAAAGATAAAACTCACAGATTTTCAGAAAGTAAAATAAATAAATAAACTTGTTATTCAACAAAGTGCATTTGAACTGTTAGACAGAAGGGCGGGGGTTCTGGTCTTCCTTTATGATGGCCAGCTGTTGCTGTTCAGAGCACGTCTCGCTCAGATGCTAACGTTTGTCAACCAACTTCTGACTGCCACAGCACTAACTAGATCAAGCCACTGCAAAATACGATGTCAGTGGTGACTAATATGAAGGAAGTATTCGCCTTGTGGCGAGGCTTTTCGCCTTACAAACACATTTATCATGGCGTAGCGCAATAAATGAACTAACACCATCACTCCCAGCAGCAGAAGCCTGACGTCCCAATGAATACACCCACACAAACACACACTCCCTTTACCCACTCTCCCTCCATAAACGCAGGCCTTTATTTCATTTCCTCAGTGGACCGTTTGTAGGCCTCAATGCTGCACATCTAATTAAGAAACTTGCTTAATTAAAAAAAGGAGCAATAAGCCCTTAATGGTGACTAAAAATAATGACTGTGTCAGCGAGGGAGCCTGTAATGACCAAATGAAAAACTTATGCATTGTACACAAAACCAAGCAACCTCCTTTACCAGAGCCCTCAGTTGTTGTTTGGTCATGAGGACAAATGGGACAGTTAGTGGCAGTAATAGATGTGGCTGTAAAAGCCGGCGCGGCTGTATTAGCTCTGCTCTCTCAGCCATCAAGAGTCGAGCACAATATCAGCCACTAAAGGCCTTGAGGAGAGGAGGCACGTCTCCAGCATACAGAGGAGCATCCAGATAAATGCCAGCGGGCCACAGTCAGTTATCTCCCCTGTAACGTCTTCTGACTATTATTATGCAAATCCGTCCCTCTGTGTTGTGCTGATCGGGGAGTTCAGCAATGTCAGATGGAGGCTAATATTGTCAATTGTTGGATTTTTGATGCTAATTGTCAAACATTTGACCCTGTCCCCTTGAAACAGGAGAAATAACTGAAAAACAAAAAGAACCTGTATATTTAATAGCAGCGTTTCAGAGATTACAGCCTACTGCAATTTCATTCTGATTATCCTAATTACATGTAAATCTATGTGGGGAACTCACGCAAAGTCAGTAAAATCCTTGACTAGTACGAACAATGCTGGTCATTTTTACTTTCAGACTTATCTGTTGACCTTCAAAGGTGGCCTATAATGCAAAATTCATAATAGGTCCCCAAATGGATACTTCCATTTGAGTATCTACTGCTTCCAAAAAAATCCCCAAACTCTTAAAAATAACACTCAACAGGTTTTTGGCAAGAAGTTTATGTTTTTGGTGTGTGGACAAAGAACCATTTCAAAAACCTCCTGAATGTAAGTCACAAATGAGAAGGCACTGACTGTTACCTAGCAAACCCAGCCAAGCCCACTCCGTTACCAGCAACCCAAGCATAGTTCCAGAACCATTGGTGCAGTTTTGTTGTTGACTTACCACTCAGAAACCACTTGCTGCATTCTGGTTGGTTGTGCAGGAAGTTCTACTACTGCTTTTCAAAGATGTACGGTTGTATAATTGCGAATCTGTTTTCAGCCATTTTCATGTACAAGTGTAAAGGTAGCGTTGGGGGCGTGGCCAGATTTAAAGTTACAGACGTCCTAAAAACTCATTCTGAAAGGAGACCAAAACAGGCAGAACTGAGCAGACGAAAGTCTCATCTGAGAAAGAAAAATTGAAAGTACAAATATATATATTTATACATTACTCCACAGAATAAAAACCAATAGTTATCATTTTTATGTCTTCACTTCAGGTGTGCTAAGATATTTGCACACACAACTTTATCTTTTTGGCTCTGTCTTAAATAAATTACATAGATTCTCATTTTAAATAATCCATGTGTCATAGATTGTTATAACACAGATTATCTCCTCATACATAAAACCACTTAAACAAAAAAATTAAGATTATAGTCAAGAACTGGTCTTCATCTACTGAAGGAAAGCCATAATAACTTGGGAAGGTGCCATAACTTTTCTTTAAGCTGTGTGCAGTTTAACTACCAGGCAGCTTGGCTCTGAAATGCATGTAAATACCTTCATGAATGCTAATAGCACATTTACAATACAAAGCAGCACAGTGAAGAGGATGAAGGAGCTCAAGCATCATGTGTTTGCTGCACAGCAGATGGTTACACGAGGCTGTAAATTTTCCTCACACGAGGGCCAGCGACGCTGCTGCGATGTGACCCAGCAAGTTAGGAGAATTAGAGGAAGACGAGCTGGAACAAGATGAAGTCAAGGACGAGCGGAAACAACTCGCAGCTTCGCTAAGCAGGTAAGGATGTAAACAGTTAATCGACTTATGATTAACTGTTGATTACTGATTTATCAGATTAAAATTTGTTCTAATCGATTGACTAATAACCTCCACTTAGATCTTCTTTTGTTGTTGTCATTTGGCCTCCATCCAGCAGAGGGCAACGCTTGCGCCTTCCTTAAGTGGAACCAGACAGTGGACACAGAAACAAAGATGGCGGAAGATAAACGGTCCTAACAGAGTCTGGAGAGGGATGACAAATGCATTTTATGTTGCTCTGTAAACACTTGACAAACTCCTCAAGTTATCGCGTTTCTTCTGTTTGAATATCTCTCTGTTCATGGGGGATTAAATGTTTCACATATTTTATTCGTTTTGTCTGCTTTTTCTTCTCGGCAACATAAAACGTTCTTGTTTTGCTCATGTAATCGAGTAAATGTAACTAGTTATTATCCAACTCTGAATATCCATTGTGTGTCAGGAAACTAAATCTGAAGATGCCACCCAAACGGTAACCCCTGGTGGCAGCATCATGCTAACATAGATGGAAGAAGGATGGACAGCTGCGTACCAGCAGCTGATTGAAATATAAAACTAAGTAAATTAAACATCAATCTTAGACATTTCTGTTTCCAGGTTTTGACTGTGAGGCAGGTCTGACAGAAATCGCTAAAGAAAAAGCTTGTAGAGCTTTTCTTCAACGCCTTGCAGCTCCAATTAGATCAAACATTCCTCTGCAAAATAAACTACACACAAACACACGCCGCACCTTTCAGATTGTATCAGTCAAAAAATAAAAAATTTAAAAATTATCTTCTACTTCACATTTATGTGCTATTTTATGTCTGAAAAGTCCCAGTGTATCTTGTAAGATGAGACTGTATTGTGAGGAAAAAATGAAAAGATGCAGAGTTACTGAATTTCCAGGACATTTGTGTGATTAAAATTTGAGTTAGCTGTTTTATTTTTGGGATTTTGTGGCACTATTGGCTTTTATCTGACAGCAACCCAGCAGGAGGAAAATAAAAATAAAATAATAATAATTAAATGAGCAGCAAAGGGCGGGTAAAGAGCGTTCCTAACAGAGTTAGTTTCCTTTAGACGGAGGCATCTCAAATAGATTCATCACATCTATTTTGACTTTCTGGACTTAAATGTGCCTTTTCTTTATAATTCAACCATTTTCAGACAAATTGAATCAAATTCTTCTATTTTTACATATATTTTTATTGAAATACCAACTACGTCTGTCTGAATTGTATAATAATTTAATTAAATAGAAATCTGTAATATAAGTGTACCTCAAATTTTTTATTTATTTTTTAAATTCATTTAGTGATTTCCTTCTTGGAAGGGCCGCATGGAATCAATCCACGGCCCAGAAATGGCTCCTGAGCCACAGTTTGAACCCCCCTGGCTTATTCGCTCAGATAATAATATCCATTTTTTTATTCTTATCTCTAGAAAAACGTTGTATTTCTTATATGTTTTGTTAATTTTTGTGTGTCACTTAAATATCTAATCTATGAATAATGAAACTGCAGTTCTATAAAAGCAAAAGGAAATAAATCCTAAATTAATTAAGACTTCTTCTCTGTAAATACAGAAAATCAGGGTTGAGTCAAACCCAGTAATGAGCAAAAAACAAGAAAACAACAAGTTCAGAAGATAAGCAACATTTCAGTTGGATAATTATTCTGAATCAAAGCTGGACCTGCTTTTTGTGAGCGTGTCAGATTCAGAGTAAATGAGCCAGAACAGATGACAGATCTGCAGCCGATGATAAAAAGAAACGGTCTGACCTTAACGAGGGGAAATAAAAAGAACAATAGCTCCAACACGTTGCATCCGTAAATTAAATGCTCACATCTTTCAGCTGAAAAGTCCTGCATGGTTAAAACTCAGGGTTTCACCACTACGCTGGACGTAAACTGTGTTAAAATTAATCTTTTATACATATTTATTATGTTTGTTTATCCTGTTGATAGCAAAGCAAAGATATTTGACATTTGACAGGGTGAAGAAAATATGGGATTCAATCATTAATGTTCCATAAAATGGTTCAAAACCGCCACATTAAAGAGATTTTTCTTTTTATTCACTTTCTTCCTTGCAACATGTTGCAGTTCTGACTTGCTTTTGGTGAATTTCCCAACAGAAAAAAAAAAAATCTCATTGCAGAATCAGGAAAAATAAGTTCGGCACTGGAAAGCTTACGGAATAAAATATAAACAATCATCAAATTAACCGAAGATGGGAGCAGGAATTGAACACTCTGAGTTAATAATGAGGAATATCTTTTCTTTTCTTACTATATTCTCTGGATTAATTGATTGTGAAAAAACAATAGTTTAGCTTCTCTAATAGCTTAAACTTTGTTCCTGAGAAAAAGGACCAGAAGTTGGTTACGAGTTCTGCTCAAACCAAGCTGTGTTGTCGGCAGTGTTGCTACTTATCCTTTCAAAAGTTCACGGAAGTTTGTCACTTTGTAGCCGGCAGCCATCTTGGCAGGCAATTGCTATGACAACAACAAACAAGCCACAAGCTTAGAAGTAGCTCTCACCTTGTTTCTAACTTGCAAACAATATAAGTACATTACAACTATTTGAGTACTCTACCCACCTCTCTACAATATTAAGATAAATGACAGTAA